TGGGAGACTTATTATTATTATTATTATTATTATTATTATTATTATTATTATTATTATTATTATTATTCCAATTTCACACAAATTATTTGTTTTCTACAGCTACCACATTGATACAACATCAAAGCATGGTAATTGATTTGCTTTACCTTTACAACATTCTATAATTAATGTAATACAGTATAAAATATTAAACTTGAAATTAAAATATAATAGCTAAGTTTAAAAGCTTGAGAATCCCCCATTACCTCCTATGAACCTCCTGACTAATGAGCATGTACTGACGACTGATTTTTGAAGAACGATGATAATACTCTTGTCCATACCTAGATTGTCTAACAATCTACCAGGAAGTTTTGGTACCACACCTGTTGCTGACAGGACAATTGGAACAGTTTTGACGTCTGCAACATGCCACCGTTCTCTTACTGCATACATTAATACTAGTTATTTATCTATTTTTGCTTGATATGTTACCATCATGTTGCTGGTATTAACAAATGCAAAATCGATAAACCAAACAGACCATTCCACATCAAATCGGGCGAATTCGACGAAAAATTGACCTTGACGTTTTTTTATTTTTTTAAAAAACTTTGTGTATCCATTCTTGTAGCAAAAACCACTCTTACGTGTTTTTTTTATTTTCATGAAAGTCGTATACCTTCACGATAATTCACAATTAAAAATTACAAATTAGCGCGCGAACTGTCCTATACAAATGCTCATATCTCCTTTATTAAAAAAAAAGAATTCAAAATAGCTGCATTTTATAGACTATAACGCGGATTTTTATTATATTTGTACTAAAATTATACAAAAGTTAAAATTGTTTATTTTACGTAGTTATTTAACTTTTAATTTAATTTTTTTAAGTGCGCAAAAATTATTTTAAGTAAAAAATATCACTACTTTCTCTAGATTTTATTGTATGATTGTATAAAATTTCAGAATGGGATATTCATAAATACAGTTGCAATAAATTATCTTTCAGAATCCAACATCCGGTATGAGGACAGCGGAATCCAGGTTCGCGCCGTGTGAAGTCAAATGTACTTAATTTATCATTGAAATGAGAATGTTAGGAATTAGTTGTTGAAATTGTAGAAGTAGAAGTTACAGTTCATATTCATTCATTCATTCATTCATTCAAGGTTAATATGCATTTTACAAAAATTACAATATACATTTTACAAAAGTTAATAAAATAATCGATCCACGAAATTGCCTTTTTGTGTAACTAGTTTAACTTTTTCATACCCGGATTTCAATAAGTCACATTTTTTTGGGTAATCAATTGTCAAAAAAAAGTGAATACCACTAACATTTTTTGCCCACTCAAATAATTTATATGGTGTCGTAATTGGAGCCTGAAATTGCTGCACATTTTCTCGCGTAGCCAAACTTCTGGTGATATTGCCAATTCCATTACCAGGCCCTTTTCCATGGGAAGTAGCCAAGTTATGCCATTCAAAATTCACACCAAAATATTTTTCGTGTAAACATAAAATAAACCTTTTTTGGTTTTTTATATTGCGCGCTTGCTCCATCTGAAAAATATTTTACATTTTTGACATTACCTACTTCAACATTTGGAAATTCAATAAAATGTTTTTGGAAGAGGTGAACTGCATTTGTACCATGCTTTAGGCTTTCAGAAACTGTTATTACACTTTTGTGCCTTAGGTGACTATTATATTTAAATGTATAACAAAGGGGTGAAGTGTGACCTGGTTCATTAATCCAATATGCTTCTTGAACTGAATTTTGAATGATGATGGAATAGGATGTCACACACCTAAAGTTTTTCTTCTTACACTTATCATAGTGATATTTGAGATTGAATGTATTAAACTTAAAGACATGTCTTGGGTGTTTGATATTACTCATTGTGTTAACAGTCTAACATAAATTATGTAAAACCAACAATAAACAAGGTTTTTACAATTGCCGCACACAGACACAGCCCACACTACATATAACAAATAAAATTGGATCTGTCGAATATCGCAGTATCTGTCTCGTCCTGAGGCGGCTGTAGAGGGACCAAACTCGCGAAAAGTTAAACAAATACTGGCGGAAACCTTGACGAGGACGCTCATCTGGATTTCGAAGAAAGGTTTCGAAAAATAATTTTTTACACTCTTTCTACCGCTTACGCGATAAAACTTACGTAATGTTGGGCGAAACAACGTCGAATTTTCATCAAAAACTCTTATTACAGGGCCCTGGCAACAAAAAAGTGGTTAATTAGAAATGCTTAATTTAGAAAAAAAAATCCTTTACCGTGTACCGAGAATCCTTGTTTTTTGGATCCTTGATGCCGAAAAAACCGATTAACGACAAAACGTCTGTCCGTGAACAACGCTAGCGGCTAATCCGTTTAATCATTTTTCTCCAAAATTGTTATTCCCAAATTGATCTGGCTGATGTCACGGTCCCTTGAATTTGAAATCGATATTTTAATTTGGGGGGGGGGTACTTTACATGATATCTCTGGGACATTTTCAAAATAAAAAAAATCTCCAAAGTTTCTAATTAAACTTTCTTATTGGAAAGTGTGAAAGACGTTTAAGAGAATGGTGCAGATCTCATGTTCGTTAATAACCTGATTTTTCGACAATTTTAAGAGTTTAATTTTAAGAGAATGGTGCAAGTCTCATGTTAGTTAAAAACCCTGATTTTTCCAAAATTGAAAATTTCAAAATTTTTCAGCGTCTTCTTACAACGAGATTTATGAAAATACAATTTTTGAATGAAATGTGTTCATCAAAAACATCTTCAAATATAGTCATGTTGAATTTTTTGAGTAATTTGGCGTCAAATATAGTCGCCCGCTCCGAATTTACTGTGCTTCGTGAACGTAATAGTGCTTTAAGGCAGTTGGATGCTACATAAGTTAGAATTTTTATATTATTTCATATTTCTTTGTTATTTTCTTACATTCCAGCTTTTGTTATACGTTTTAAAATTAATCTTTTGGAAATTATTTGAAACCTAATTAAAATTGCTTTCTTTAATTGAGTTAATTGTGCACAAATAGATGATTTCGCTTTGCTTATTAAGATGGGAGAATGAAGAGAAATGCATGTAAAAACGGAGTAATTTTGGTGGATATAAAAATGTTATATTTAATTATTGTATTTTTCTATTCCTTTTCATTTTCTTGGTAGCGGTATCAACAATGCTAATTTGCAAAATGTGTATCCCATGCGAATTAGCGGTCATTGTTGCTTGTTTCCACCCATTGTTGTAACGCCGCTCTGATAATAGAAGACGATAATGACTGCTGCCTTTTTGTGTTAATATAAACTAATAATTTATTTACGGCTAAAATACGCATCGTTCATTGTTGGCACATTTATGTAGAACGAGAATACACTAATTCTTTATTGTTAATGGCATGCTGTTAGAGCACTAAGATTTCCTTAATGTAATCTGTTCCTTGAAGATAGATTTTCAAATAATATAATGTTCGATTTTTCGAAAATTTGAGTACTTTCGCTAATTTTGGTGAGAATATACGTGTTGTTTTAGCCTCATTAGTTCATATTTTATTTTGTTTATATTTGTGGACTGATTATAACGGCAAAGTCGACGAAAGCCGGTTCTAAATAAATATATTAAGTTGACGGAAATGATCTCCAAGATTTCTTCATAGAATATTGATGCTATATGAATTTACTCTACCCATCGTTCGCTGTTGTGAGTGGTGGGCATCCCCTCCCCCTTTAAAAGGAAACTTTTTCTTAATAGTCCCTTGTATATTTGTACAATGAATTTGTGCAGTAAATTACATTGATGAGTAAATTTGCGGAAAGAGTATTAACAGCACATTTTTATTAGTGGTTTTGATGTGATCTTTTTAAACTTGATTACTGGCGCATGCGCAGTAACTTCGAAATATATACGAAAAGAACACGTGAACATACGGTCATTGATAATTAGTGGACAGCAGTCGGCGATGGTTTGGCAGATCCTTCGCCTCATTTTTGTGTATTTAGTATGGAGGAAACATCTTACTGTACTTTTTTCCCCCAGGGTACACTATTATCTTTACATCATTTTAATAACACTGAATGCTTGATCAAATTGAATTTTATGGCAATTCAATTTCTGGATTTCTTATATCCACGAAGTCTTCATTCAGGCAGAAATGATTGCTTTCTTCTTCTACCTCAATTTTCAATTTGGTCGACAATGTATTTTCTTAATAATGTAATTCCGAGGCATTTGACACATTTTTATATCTTTGCAAGAACACAATTACTGAAGTTCCGCGTTTTTACGTGTCGGTTTTACTTAATATCTGAAGAAAAGGTTTTTGGACACATGGTGATTTGTTATGGCCTCATTATGACCAACTTTTCGACAGGTAGCAAGGTAAATAAAGTGTAATATTGATGAATATATCCTTGTTCGCAATATCATGAGTGGTTCACAATATTTTAGAAGCATGTTTATTTGACGTCATTAGTAGTTTATTTCATGAAATCCCCAAATAAACTTTAAATAAGCTTTTAGAGGTCCTATGGAGATATGTCTCACCTCGCATGCAACAAGATCATTCAGACGGCATCTTTCTGCATCTTTTATTTGCAGCATCTTTGACACAGCGTATAGATACACAATCAATACAACTTTATTGCATGAAAATATACCCGAGCTTGTGACACTGAAAATGTGTTGTTATCTCTTCTGTTTGAACCAGCTGTGAAAATCAAACGAGAACCAGTAAGACGCACAATCATTCTCAATCTATTCGATACTAAAATCCAGACAGAACTATATTTTAACCGCGGGTGGATATTGTCTGGTATGTTAGTACAACGGCAAATATGTGGTCGAGTGGAGGTTGAGTGCGGGTTGTTTTTTTATTAATTGCGATGAAAATACAGCAATGTTGATGGTTTTTGGGTCCATTTCACGTTGTATTGATTACACAGCTTGTGAAACAGAACTGCAGCGGTCGCGATAATTGACGTTTCGTTAGTTCATCGCTTCTCTAAGCGATGTCATCTATGCTCCCTTTTACTCCTCCAATTGTGAAAAGACTTCTAGGTTGGAAGAAATCTGAAGGAGAAGACAAGTGGTGTGAAAAAGCTGTCAAAAGTTTAGTGAAGAAATTAAAGAAGACAGGAGGGCTGGATGAGTTAGAAAAAGCGATCACCACTCAAGACCCTAGCACAAAGTGTATTACCATTCCGAGGTTAGTGCTTTATTATTGTGCGGGAGTAGTACATATAATATTGATATGCAGTTGTGCATGTGTTAGTGCATGTTTTAGAATGCATGTTTGTTATGTTATCTCTTTTTGCCATCGTCTGCATGTAGTATATGGTGAAGTTATAAAAATGTATACTAGTCTTGCAATGCATACATGAAGTTACAGTGATGACACAATATAAGTTTCACTGCGATAGACAAGTATCATATGAGTCTTTATTTATTATTATTTAGAACATTTGTCATAACTTACAAATGAGGTCAAACTTTTCAAAATGTAGTTATGCATAGATAAACAAAACTTTTCTCTTTTAAGGATTCTGTTTACTTTTTTCACATTTTAAATAAATGCAGTTGTTTATTTTTATACATTTGTTTTTAGCTTGACATTCGATTTTGAACCACATCTTTTGAACTCCTTTTGCTTGAACACAAAATCAGGAAGATGATTGTCAGACAGTTCATTGACAAACATGTGGTGAAGAATGACAAGTCAGTGATAAAGTTGTAAATGACATTATGAATTCTTCATACATCCTATTTTGAGGAACTCTTCCATTTTTTTTTTGTGTATTTAATATTTTTTCTCTTTTTTATTAAAAATATTTCATTAAAATACAAGAGTTGTTTCATGCGGTCATTAGTTTATATATACATTTCTTAATTTGAAGATGCCACATTTATTGTAGTGTTTTGTAGCCGTCTTCAATTTTTTGTGATGTTTCAATAACTTTTTTGGTGTGATATGGAAAAATATTGTGCATAATATTGGAATGTATTAATATATTTATTAGATTTTCTCCTATTGTCATGCTTAACAGAATTTTCTGGGTGGAAATGCACTTTAAATTAAAATATGATGTATTCCATATACATGTTTTTGCTAAATTCGTATTTTATCATTGTTTTGTTCAACATCTGTTATAATCTAACCTAATTTGTTATGTTATATTAAAAAGTAGAAAGCCTTTATTACTCTGTTCGTGATAGTGGCAGTATATTTCATTAAAATGTGAATATTGGACATTATTTATTAGAATGGATATCAGTCTTATCCTGTTTAGTGCTTTCTTGATAGGAAGTGCTGTTATGATTGAGAGTTGAATACAATGATCTCTTCTTGCGAACTTTATAATGGTATAATTAGTCTTAAAATTAACAGCTGGTTGTGAGGTTATGTTTATTTCTTTTTTAAATTAAATGGAGTTGTAAATATGTGTAAATGTACATTTATTTTTTTATTACATTACCTTCATTTCCATTATCCATGAATATCAGGTTTTTTTTTAAATTTTATTTTATTTTTTTATTTTATTTTATTTTATTTATAGATTGTTGAAGAATACATTATGTCTACTGTTCAATGACTTCAGCTCATTTTGAGTTATGTAATATTTTATTTTTCATTACCAATATACTTGCCAAGGGTTTTGCATTAACGAATGGAATTATGACTTCATAAATTTTTCTTATCAATATTGTATAATGATTATCAATGAAGGCAATATCAACAGTCTTCGTAGTAACTCATGACGTTAACTGGTTCTAGCTATCTAAACATGCTACTATTGTTTGTTTTCATTTCCATTAAAATGTGATTTTTTTTCTATTGCTTTACTTGGTTAACAATTTTCTCTCAAAATTTACATGTGAGTTACTGTGCATGCTTATATATCCTGATAATGAGCTGTTGCTGAATGGCTGAAAACAATTCTTTCTTCCATACAAACATTTCCAAGAAAATGAAACTTACAAGAGTTCATTAACAATTATTTATTTTTGTGGACTATTCATATTATTTCATTATTACACTTCATGAACTCACATTTGATGCATTAAATAGTTGACTCATCAATTTGTATACTTGAATAAGAGATTATTATAAACATGAAGAAAATATTTGTGAGTATGGATGAAGTTGTAGTTAGTTGTATGTGGTGTTTTCAATGAGTTAAAATATTGATTTTGCTAAATGTGACATTTTGAAGAAGAGTGCTGCATGTTTTGTGCTTTTAATTTTTTTTTTTTGCCAGAAATTCAGTACTTTATTGTTTTGAATTCAGTGCAAGAGTATTATCCAATTAAAATTCGAATTTCTTGCAAGTCTTTTGTAATAAATATATAATATATATATATATAATCATAATATTTACTTAAATTGATGGATGTTCTTAAAAATTGTAGAGCCCGTTCGAATCAATGTGTGAGACTTACCCAAAACAATACAATATTTTAAAGTTCAATTTAGAAAATTCTTTTTGGATAGAGGATTGCCGTTTAATGAAATAAAGGTTCAGTTGTATTGTGTAGTGTGTGTGTTTTTATAAATGATTTAGTTGATGTGCAAATACATTTTTGGTAGTCAAAATTGATAATGACGCATTCTTCTTTGTTTGTTTATCTGTTGTGTGTTGTTTTTTTCTTCTTCTTTTTTCCTTTTCTGTATAAGGAATCATCCTAGAAGAAACAGTAAATTCACTTCCCATTTTTTTGAAAAACTTTTAATATCTTTCATTATGTTAGACTAATCATCTGCTTTAGTATTTGATAGTTGTCTGGCCTTGCTCATTTTTATTCCTTTCTCATTGGTCCTGATATATAAAAGCACTGTGACTGAAAGAAGCTATGACAGCTCTGTTAGAATGGATAGTTTTATTTCGTAAGGTACGTATGCTGTGGTTGGTTTGTAGGGATGTTTGTTATGTAACAATGTAGACTGAATACAAACATACAAAGTCAAGTGAAGGAAAAGTCTCAAACGGAAAACAATAATTTTTGCGGGATTGTGGCTTTGTGTAGATTTGGAGAGAATAGATTTCAAATGTGGAAACTCACTCATTCTATTTAAAGAAACTGAATTTGTCTATTTTGTTCAGTTTACTTTTAAGTGGGTTTTTTGATAACAGTAGTGATAGGACTGGGAACAGCTATTATCTGCTCTTTGTCCCCAAACGCATACAAATAAAAACATTAAAATGATAATGGTAATAATATGATAATAATGATAATATAATAATACAATAAATAAAACAAACAAACCCAGAGCAATGTTGAACACCAAGTTAAGTTCGGTATTGAAAGAAAAAATACTTTTCCCACACACTCACATGCGTGCACACACTCACACACACACACTCACACCCACACACTCTCACACACTCACACTCACACTGACACACTCACACACACACTGACACACTCACACACACACACTCACACACACACACACTCACACACACACACTCACACACACACACACACACTCACTCACACTCACTCACTCACACTCACTCACTCACACTCACTCACTCACACTCACTCACACACACTCACTCACACACACTCACTCACTCACACACACTCACTCACACTCACTCCCACACACTCACTCCCACACACTCACTCACACACACTCACTCTCACACACACTCACTCTCACTCACACACACTCTCACTCACACACACTCACTCTCACACACACTCACTCTCACACACACTCACTCTCACACACACTCACTCTCTCACACACTCACTCTCTCACACACTCACTCTCACACACACTCACTCTCACACTCACTCACTCTCACACACACTCACTCTCACACACACTCACTCTCACACACACTCACTCTCACACACAC